TTGTATTGTATTTGTTATTTTAAAAAATATATTATAAAATTAAATAAACAAAAGTATGAAATTTAGAAGTCTAAGTTCGCATTTTTGTTAAAAAAGAATGATACGTTGACTTGACTAAACTTTACTACAGCTCACATAAGAGTTTGTGAATGATTAGACTTTTTACAATTTAAATTAAAAGATACTGTTTAGAAATGAGGTACTCTATACAAATAATTTAATGGTTACTTGTAATTTCTTAGAATTACGTAGAGGTTAAAATAATATAATATTAGATTAATAAGAGATGATTACATATTTTATTATGGTGTACGAAAATTTCATCATATTAGAGTATATGTGTGAAACGTGACATAGTGCTATTATTAGATATTTATATGTAAACATTGAACATGTGTATGTTAAAATAAACGACATAGAATTTTAAATTGACATATCAAATCTAAAAGTTTATCAATATATATGCAATATAGATACCAAATTAAAAACTATAAAAATATTTATTTATTATATTACATGCAGATATTGTATTAATTATGATTTTTTCTATTTTACCTTGAAATATTTCGAATACAACCGAAAAAATTAATATTGTGTTTGATGTTAAAAAATAAATAAATATGTATAAAAAAATAAATGATTTTAAATAAAAAATTTACTTCAAAAATTATTTTAATGATTAATTAAATGAGATTGACAATTTATTTTTATAAAAAAAAAAATATAATATATAAGGAAAGGAACTCATACTCACAAATGGGAAGAGAGACAAATAATAAGTGGGATATTGGAATTAGAATTCATAATAAATAATTATGTATAATATTAAATGTTATTTGTAGCAAATAATTATGTCACTCACAAAGCATAAAAATATTTAACGAAAATTTGTACAATAATTGATTATAACTAAAATAATTATTTATTTGTAACAAATAATTATGATATTGTTTGAATGGTAAATAATACATAGAAATTAACAAAATTTATTTCATGGTCATATAAGTAATTGAAACATTTATTTAGTCAAGAGAAATTGGAGTGCAAATTTCAATACCATTATGAATACAAATTAATTATTCATATGTAACTAATATTTTTCTATTTATAAGTCATGCATAGAAATTGATAAAAATTTATTTCAATGTGTAAATGTAGTTTTTGATGAAAATTTTGTATAGAAGTTGGTAACATTTATTTATAGCAATTAATATAGTTTTGGAGGGAATTTTTAGCTGCTTCACTTTAACTAGTACGTAACTCGTGCGATGCACGGACTGTATTTATTTTAGGAATATTATAAATTGAAGTGTATTAATAAATAAAAGAGTTATAATACGTAAGAAAATTACCAATTCATAAACTCTTCCTCATAAAAAAATCATATACTATTAAAAATCTCTGTGTACACAACAATATTAGTATGATTATTGAGCAACTCGTACACACAAACTAATATTTTCTACGCCTTTCTATTATTTACACTTGAAGCAACGAAATATAATTGACTGTGACTAAAAATTAGTTTCCTTAAGAATAGGCTAATGTGCGATAAAGATTGACTCTAACTCTTGTCTATGGTAAATTGGTAATTGCATATGAAATCAGAAGTGGAAACTGCCCCTGCTGCAACTTAAATGGAACCCTAAGATCGATTTATATATATATATATATATATGTGTGTGTGTGTGTGTGTGTGTGTGTGTAATTTGATAATTTACTTGGTAGTTCGACAAATGAGCCGTTAGTTTATCATTTAATATCAATTGTACTTGATTAGTGAAATATTATTTAGTTTATCATTTAATATCAATTGTACTTGATTAGTGGAATATTATTTACTAATATTTTTATGCTTTTTATCATTAATTTCTTAAACACATGAGGTATAATTACTGTTTTATATGATATTGTACTAAATATAATTTATTACATATACATTTGTTTTTATTGTGTGAAAAACTTGAGAATAATTCTTTATTTTAAATTACTATTAAATAATAAATTTTAGTTGATTTTGTATTGTTCAATTAAATAATAAACTTACTAATATTTTTAAAAATTATTGTTTATTTATGCATACAATATGAGTGTCAAAGCAAAGCTTGTAAAACAAAGATTAATTTAATATTATAAATAAAAAATGAGTAATATACAAAATTGTTTTTAAGTTTTTAAAAAGGCTATGGAATTAATAGTTAATAAGAAAAAAAAAATACCATGATATATAGAAAAAATGTTTAAAAGAATGTCTAGAAATTCAAATTAAGTAGGCAATATATATACAATTTATTGAAATAATATCAATAAACATAAAATAAATTATGTAGAAATAATTTTTTTTTTTAAAAGTTTAATCAATATATTTAGTTCACTTATTGATTTCACATTACGTATAAAAATAAAAAGTCTTACAACAGATGGTAAAAAATATCAATAAAAAGAAATAGAAAAAAATGTTTAAAAGAATGTCTAGAAAAAAGTTGAAATTGGGTATATATAATTTTTATTTTTATTTTTTATTTTTGAAAAATTCATTACTATTTCAAGTAAAACAAACCTTTATATATATAAAGACTTAATGTGATGCAACATGGACATAGTTTATCGTAGATAATATTATATTATTATTTTGTTCCTATACAAACCAAATCCGTGATTAATATTGAAAAGAACTTAGACCGGTGTATATTATCTTCAAGTGCTTAAAATGACATGAAAATTAAATTGTATAAAAGCGCTGCGGCTATAATGTGTTAATACAGCTCAATAAAATGTTTAAGTAATCTAAAATATTATATAACATTCTCGAAAAATATATCCTAAATTTTGTCAAATTTTTTTTATGTTATCCCCAGTTACATCTATCGAAAATATTTAATAATAATGGTTATATATCAATATACTAATAACAACACATGAAAATTATTTAAGTTTATATAGTGGATACAATTAATATCGTGGTTAAAAAATGGTAGTATAGTGATTTTGTTTATTAAATTTGTGAAAGCAATATTTTTTAAATATTTCATTGTATTGAAATAAAAGAGGTTTCCAAATATATAAGAGACCTCGGATCAAATCGGTGTTAATTATCCTATTTTATACAACAATTTCTTTATCATAATTTTCGAGACTAAATCTGTAAAGTTTTCCAATAAAATCCTATATTTTTACAACTATTTTTTCCTCATCATTCCAATTGTAATTTATAGTGACGTAATAATTAGTACTAAATTTTATGAGTTGGTACTTTAATATAAATAGAAAATATATTAATTTAATCAAATAAATCAAACCATGAACAACTGCAAATTATTTAAAAGTGATATAAAAAATTATTAAATTCATTTTAATAATATATTTTTTTTGTTATTATACAAAAATTAATTTAGTATAGTCATTTTAAAAATATTTGGGGTTGGATTATTTAATAATTTCTTTTATCCATTGACTTGATTTCTCACAATTCAAAAACTAAAAAATGTTTCTAAGTATTGAAATAACACTTTCATAAAATATTGATTGATTTTAAGAAGTGTAAATATAAATTTTTGCACTAAATTAAATGAACTCTCACATTCGCACCGACTTGTATTCTATTTATCAATGTTTTAAAATATATCCTAATTTATATAGTAAATTTTTTTCGACATGATGTGTCATCATGATTTAGTTACTAAAACATTTCAATGATTTAAATTTTTATGTAAACGGATTTGAAAAATGTGGACTGATTTATGTTTATTTTGCCTAAATAGTTCGCCACTATTTTTGTATACTGAGATGTTATATTATATTACATTTAAGAATTATTATTGATCACTATATATAATTAAATAATGATTTATAAAAAAAATGAAATGTCAAATAGATTGCGTAATTATTGAGTATATTTATCCTACTTTACGGCCACCAATTCAAGGAAAATATTTCATAATACAATCAAATTATTTAAATCAATTTTTATTATTAAATCATCTTGGGGGTTTCGTTTTGAATGTTGGAAAAGAAAAGGTAAGTAGATAATAAATGGTAATACAGATTACATTCTTCTGAGATTTGAATACCAAAATTAACTAAACCCCACAATATAGGGTAGCATTTAATGTGATTTCAAAAAAATTAAAAAATTACTATTTTCGGGTTGCATTAAATTTTGGCGGGTTTTTTTTCCTACTATTTTTAGTAAATGTTAATTCTTATTATATATATATATATAT